CGGTAAGACCATGGAAAACTTACGGAAAAGAGTAGATGTTAGACTAGTAACTAATAAAGATAAATTATTAAAATTAGCTTCAAAACCTACTTATATAAGTAGTAAAATTTTCAATGAGAACCTTGTGGCTGTGCATAAGATCAAAGAAACACTAACCCTTAACAGCCTGCATATGTTGGTATGTGTATCTTAGATTTAAGTAAAACGTTGATGTATGATTTTCATTACAACTATATCAAGAAGAAATATGGTGATAAAGCTAAACTTCTTTTCACAGACACAGATAGTTTAACATATGAAATCGAAACTGAAGATGTCTATCAAGATTTTGGGTTGATAAAGATAAATTTGATTTTAGTGATTACCCGGAATACCATAAATATCATGATAAAACTAATAAAAAAGTTATTGGTAAAATGAAAGATGAAGCTGCTGGAATAGTAGTTAAAGAATTTGTTGGTTTAAGAAGCAAGATGTATAGTTATATTAAAGATAATAATAACGGAGATAAGAAAGCTAAAGGAATTAAGACAAATATTATTAAAAACGAAATAAAACATGAAGACTATAAAAAAACACTATTTGAAAATAAACAAATGCATCATACAATGAAAACTATTAGAAGTGTGAACCATCAACTTAGTAGTTATGAAATTAATAAAGTATCACTCAGCTGTTTTGATGATAAACGGTACATATTAGATGATGGTTGTACTAGTTATGCTTATGGCCATTATCTTATCAATTGAAATAACTAAATATTAACAAACAGTTATAATGTGTAGTAAGCATGTAGCGTAGGCCTCTGTTAGAGTAAAATCATACATACCTGCTCCTCATGTTTGACTACATATCACATAACTGTTTGTAATAAGTAATTAATACAAAAGCGATATACAAAAGAATTCAAAATCCTGAAGCAATTATTAAAAACAATTTTAACAAAAATTATATGACACTCGCTTGACAGACAAATTAAAAAAACATATAGATTCCATATTTTGTACAACATTGTATTATTATACATGCGCTGATGAAATGTGCTGGTTACATTAAACAACCATTGTTGAAAAACATGCACTAAGACACGCGCGCCTCTAAAAACCAGCTAGCGCTGATACTGATATTTTAATAACACTTGATTATTAACACTTGATTATTTAAGACGGTTTTTTGAAGAGCATTTTTTAAGCCTCTGTTATTCTCGAATATTCTTCGAATATTCATCGAATCTACGGGGGAACCCCGAATTTTTCACTTCGTGAAAAATTTTCCCCACCTGGGTTCCAGAATTCTCGAGGATTCCATTCCCCTCCTCGAGGATGGAGCAATATCACTTCGTGATATCACATCATCCTCTGCGGTGCCGAACCCTCTCCGAACCGATGCTTGTTAACATTTGTTTGTAAAGACTGTTTTTAAAATTTGAACGCACCTATATATTTCAAAAACATATAGATTCCATATTTTTAAACGATAGATTGTAAACTCGAGATTTTTACCCCCTTTGAAACAATGCTTTATTAACATTTATTTATAAAGACGGTTTTTTAAAGAGCATATTTTATGTCTGTCGTCCTTCGGACACCACGGGGGGGCGACTCCAATTTTTCACTTCGTGAAAAATTTCCCACCATCGTCGCCTGAATTCTCGGGGCTCCATCCCCTGCTCAATTTTAGCTACGCTAAAATTTGCGCTGCCGAGCCCCTCCGAAACGATGCTTTCTTAACATTTGTTTGTAAAGACTGTTTGTAAAATTTAAACGCACCTATATATTTCAAAAACATATAGATTCCATATTTTTAAACGATAGATTGTAAACTCGAGTTTTTTACCCCCCTTTGAAACAATGACTTTTTTACATGGCCTTTTGCTGAGGGACGCCTTTTGAACCATGGCCTTTTTCACAATACTTTGAAACAATGACTTTTTTACGCAGCTTTTTTACATGACCTTTTACTGAGGGACGCCTTTTGAACCATGGTCTTATTTTGCGCTGTTATAAAGATAGATTTTACCCACGGTTATATGTAGTATAGTACATGGGGGATATGAGTGCACTTTTAGTGCACTCGTACCCCCATGTACTATACTACTCGGAAGTCGTTGCGAAGTTGCCGGACGCATTTCGATTGACAATAACAAGAGGTTCGATCTCACGGATTGGTCAATGAAAGATGCGTTGAAAGAAAAAAAAGTTGGAGCTTCGAGAAGCTCACACACCGATCGGTGAGAAAACCAAGAGACAGGATGTGGAGAAACAACGAGAAACGTCGCGGCAAAGACATATAACGTCAGCATCAGCACTGCACGCGAAGCAAAAGAGTTGCAAAGAGGAGTCAAGGAACGGTAAAGCGAAAAGAAAATGCGTTTATTGTCTCGGGGAACACAATCCACTTAGTACGGCTGAAAATGGAACAGAAATTTTATAAGAGTATAATAAGACAATCCAAGATCAATTGAGGAGAGGTATTATAGAACCAGTGATAGAACTAGAGAAAGCTGATAAAATACATTATTTACCACATCATGCGGTTACTCGCAGGGAAGAAAAAACAACAAAGGTAAAGTTGTTTATGATGCGTTGTGTAAAGAGTCACTCAAGGCTTCCTCGCTCAATGACTGCTTGCATGTGGGACCCAAATAAGCACCATTGCTCTTTCATATTTTGATAAGGCTTAGAGAGAAGAGATTCACTTTTGTGGCAGATTTTGAAAAGGCATTTTTGAATATAGAAGTTGATACTTAGGACAGGGATTGCGTAGGATTTTTATGGGTTGATGGTGTAAACGATGAGAGGGTGAAACCTGTAGATTACCTTTTTGGAGAGTAGTGTTTGTGTTAACTGCTCTCCATTTTTGTTAAATGCAACACTGCAGTATCATTTAGACTCATTCATAGAGATAGACAAGTAATTTGTTACAAAACTCAAAGATAGCTTTTATGTCGATGATCTAGTGTCCGGTAAACAATCCAAGAAAAAGGTAATGAGGTTGTATGAGTCAGCAAGTGACCGATTGGCTGCAGGAGAATTTAGGCTTAGGAAGTGGCTAAGTAACGATGACAATGTTTCGAAAGAAATAGAAGCGAGAGAAAGAAGCATTTTAGAGAAAAGAAGGGCAGAATTTAGTAATTCGAAAGGCTGATGAGCAAACTTATACCAAAGCATCAGTTGGGGAAAATAGTATCAATGGAAAATTTGAGAAAGTACTAGGATTGGAATGGGAGTGTACAAGTCCGATCGCTTTGTATTTAGCCTCTGGAAATTGGCTAAACGAGCAAAGGCAATCATCCCAAGTAAACGAAATATACTAAGTATACTTGCAGGATTATTTGATCCCTTAGGTATTATAAGTCCAGTTGTAGTTTATGCTAATTTATTGTTTCAGGAGCTGTGTATTGAGAAAGCTGAATGGGATAATGAGCTGGAAGGTGACAATAAAACACGTTGGGAGAGATGGATAGAAGATTTAGAGGGAGTCAGAGATTTAGTTGTGGCGAGATGTGGGTATGGTAATTTACTTGGTAAGGTAAAGTGTTACTTGCATGGGTACGCAGATGCTAGCCAAAAGGCATACTGTGCGGTTGTATGTTTTGTGACAGAGCTAAACGGTGCCTACCACGTAGAGTTGCTTACGTCGAAAACAAGGATAGCGCTAATAAAATTGCAGACAATTCCCAGACTAGAACTGATGAGAGCTAGAATATTAGCACAGTTGATGGACACAGTGAAGTTGGCCTTAGATGATTACGTTTAATTTAATGGTACATACTATTGGTTGGACAGTATGACTGCATTGTGCTGGATCGGTAATAGGGGAGAATGGAAACAGTTTGTGTGCCATAGAGTTGACGAGATTTTAAGATTGAGCAGGTAAGATCATTGAAAACATTGTCCGGGTGTAGACAATCCTGCGGACTTAGGTTTATGAGGATTTACGGCATCACAATTCAAGGAAAGTGAACTTTGGCGATCGTTGTTTTTTGAATTGTATGCGAAGACTTACTGCTAGAATGGGAGCACCCTCGCTAATAGTTTAGGACAACGCCAAAACATTTAAAGCAACTGAGAAAGCGTTGAAGGAGATTTATGGAAGTAAGGAGGTAAAATCATGATTGGAAGATAATCGGTTGATATGGAACTTTAATTTGGCGAGGACACCCTGGCGAGGTGGATTTCTTGAAAGAATGGTAGCATTGGTGAAAAGTTGTCTGAGGAAGGTGTTGGGTATCGTTAAACTGAACAAGGAAGAATTGTTAACAACATTATTTGAGGTACAAGGTACGTTGAACTCTAGATCATTGACTTATGTATATGAAGATGAAGTGAATGTAGATGTACTGACTCCTGCACATCTTATATTTGGAAGAAGATTAACATCTATTCCCGACGAAAGAATTCTGCATACTATTAATGACGAAGATGCAGCAGTGGTCAAGCGTAGGTTAGGGAATTTAGCGAGGTTGAGAAAGCATTTTTGGTCCAGGTGGAGGAAGGATTACTTAACAAGTTTAAGGAAGTGTCATAAGGTCGGCAAAGTAAAGGGTTGTTTGTGTCCGAAAGTAGGTGATATAGTTCTTGTGTTTAAGAAAAGCTTGAAAAGAGGATTTTGGAAAATAGCAAGAATTGAGATATTGGTCAAAGGAAAAGGTAATATAGTCAGACAAGTCAAAGTTGTTAGCAAGGGAAAACTATTATACATAAGCAGGCCTCTTCAGAAACTGTATCCACTAAAGATGGATGCAAAGGTAAGTAAAGAAAATTCAGCGTCCTACATGTAAAAAATATTCTCATGTTATTCTTCCTACCTATACTTTTGAACAGGTTTTACTGTTTTTCCCTACCATGCAGTATATGTTCAATAGTTAAAAAGTTGGTATATCAACTTAGATATGATTTCTCATGCATGTTCATTCATACTTCATCTAGATGTTTCCTTAGCTAATTTATTAGGTCCGTAATGTAGATATAAATCTCGCTTTACTTTTGTAAAATTACCTTTGTTGTGGAAGTAAGACTTCATATCTGACGACCTCGTCGTCCAAATTAAGCTTGCTTTAGTTCTTTACATGTCACATATCTAACAAAAGATGAGAGATTTAATGTGAAGAACGCGACCACATACATATCAGTTTAGAAATGATGATCATTGATTATGAAAATAATTCATACCTTATTGTTAAATCAATCTTTTATCCATGTAAGTTTTGTTACATAAACACATTTAAATAGTGAACGAAGATGAAGAGTGAGTCAGGATCTCCTTCAACAAACAGTATTATAAAACATTATTGACATCTATGTAGAACATTCTAGTTATATAACTAAGTATACATCACTGACTTAAAACAATTGTTATAGAAATAAAAATACATCAATAAGAGCCTCATGCAGAGTACATAATGACATTGACATTAGTCAAATTCCAAAGGACTACTGCTAAGTTTTATAAAGTTTCATAATTTTTAACTCAGGAATAGAGAATCAGCTATCTGAGACAGGATTTGATTTCCAATAATTAATGCACGATTTTCGCAACTGTGAATGGATTTTTTCCTTCATTAATCAAAAATTCCATACATGTATATTCTTGCATAAGCCGGTTCTTAGTATAAAAATCCTTTGTCATTTAATAAACCATTGTAAATCATGAATACATGGCAAACATCAGCTGCACGCAATTATAATTACTAATGATCAATAAAGACACTGTGGATACAACATTAAAGGTTGCAATGTAAGCAAACCTTAAAACTGTTAATCAAACATGACAAAGAGTATAAATTTAAAAGCTCGTTGTGTTGCATAAATCAACATTTACCAAAAATAGATTTGGGTGCGTCCTTTTTCCGTGTAAATACATTCTTCCTGTGTTCAACATTTGCTTATTTTACAATTGTTCTTACTTTTAAAATGAACGGTTTGCTTAATACAATTAACAACATTTTGTTAGACACACAACGATTAGTCAAAAGGGGCGTCGGCAAAAAATGAAGGTGATGCATGATTGGACATGCTATCACCCCTACATAAATTTTCACAGATTGCCATTTTTTCCATAGACAAGTATCCTATTTCGCCTCTCTCATACCTTTGAACAGGTTTTGCTTTCATTTACCATTCAGCTTAATGGTAGTTTAATTTAGATATTATTTCTCATGCATGTTTAGTCATACTTTATCGAGATGCTGCTTTAGCTAACTTGTTATGTAAAGTTAGTAATATAGTTTCATAATCTCGCTTTACTTTCGACAAATTATGTACGCTTTAGAAATAAGACTTCATACTTGACGACCGTGTAGACAAAATTTATTTAGTTCTTTACATGTCACATAACTTACAAATATGAGAGATTTAATATAAAGAACGCAACCACATACATATCAGTTTAAAAATGATGATCATATTTCATACCTTTTTGTTAAATTAATATTTTTTCCATGTAAGTTTTGTTACATAAACACATTTAAATAGTGAACGAAGATGAAGAGTGAGTCAGGATCTCCTTCACCAAACAGTATTATAAAACATTAATGACATCTATGTAGAACATTTTAGTTCTATAGCTAGGTGTACATCACTAACTAAAAACAATTGTTATTGAAATAAAAATTCATAAATAAGAAGCTTATGCAGAGTACAAAATAACATTAAAATGAGTCAAATTCTAAAGGACTACTTTAAATAATATAAAGTTTAACAAGTTTAAACTCAGGAATTACGAAATCATCTTTCTAAAATAGGATTTAAATGTTAATGATTAAGACACAATTTTTGAAACTTTAAATGGATTTTTTCACTTCGCTAATCAAAAATTCCATACATGTATATTATTGCAAAAGTCAGTTTATATTATAAAAAGACCTTTGATATTGAATAACCCATTGTAAATTATCAATACATTTTAATTAAAAAATGCACGCAATTGTAAATACTTATGATCAATAAAAAACATTTTACATATAACAGTAAAGGATGCAATTAAAGTAAAATAATTCAGGGTCTACTTCAACAAACAGTATTATCAAACATTAATGACATCTATATCGTGGTATAGGGAATAAACAGTAGGTCCACTTCGTGTGCAACTGGCTGCTGTATTCTTAATTAGATTACTGGCTGCCGTTAGGCATTTCATCATTCCTATTCTTCAAAAAAAGCATTTGACTGGCTGCCACTATGGTAATCACATCCGTAATAAGATATGTGTGGCACGAAAAATTTTAATAGAGTGGCTCTACTGTATGTCCTTCTATAGTGTGTCTATGTAGAACATCTCAGTTATATAACTAAGTATACATCATTGACTAAAAACAATTGTTATAGAAATAAAAATACATAAATAAGAACCTCATGCAGAGTACATAATAACATTGAAATTAGTCAAATTCCAAAGAACTAGTGCTAAATGTAATAAAGTTTCAGAAGTTTTAACTCAGGAGTTGAAGATTAATTATCTAAGACAGGATTTGAAGGTTAATGCTTAAGACACGAATTTCGAAAATGCAAATGTTTTTTTCATTTTATTAACCAAAATCCATTCAAATAAATTATTGCATAAGTCATTTCATATTATAAAATCCTTTGTTTATTTAATAAGCCATTGTAAATTATGAATAATTTTCAAACTCCAACTACACGGAATTATAATTACTTATGATAAAAAACACTGCAGACACAAGAGTAAAGAATGTAATGAAAATAAGATAATGCTCATCTCAAATGTGTAGTAACGATGAGAAATACATTGTAATTGAGTCTCAGTAGGCAAATTTAAAAGATTAGCGGTACCAGTAAGGGAGAAAACACCTACAGAATGCATTTACGATTTCAAAAAAATAAATGCTTAGAGTGAGTTAAATCACAGTATAGGAATATATGGTAGGGCCACTTGGCTGAGCACCTGGCTGCTGTATATTTAATTAGGGGCTGGTTCACACGAGCCCGGTTGCCGGGATTCAGGGAAGTGTTAAAACATTTTAGCAAATGGAAAAGATTAAATACTTCACACAAAAATCTTATTTGAGTAATTTCTCTGTACTATGACTTTGGAAATTCACAAAACCTTTAAAATGAAGACAAATACTTTAGCTTGATTTGAAAATTACGACTAAAATGACTTATGACACTTAAGAAAAGGTTGTAAATTTTGCGCTTAAAGCTTTAACTCTTTTCAATGACTTAAAATCATTTTACGCCTCGCTGAATCCCTGTTACCGGGTTCATGTGAACAGGCTCTTAGTTTACTGGGTGCCGTTTGCCATATCGTCAATCCTATTGGTCAAACAATGCAAATTACCGGCTGCCAATATGGTAATCACATGCGTAATAAGATATGCGTGGCGCGAAAAATTCAATGCAGTGGCTCTACTGTATGATCTCTATACTGTGGTTAAATGTTCCTTTTCATCTCATGTGACTTTTTTTTGAAAATATGAAAATTCAATCTCTGCCAAGAATATTGGTTAATTTATGCAAACTTTTCATTTGACCAGAGATGGTACAATTTAATTTTCTCAGTAAATATTGATGTTATGCAAAGTTTTTCCTCCCATGACCACCCCTAAAGTGAACCTTCTAAACATGTCAAGAACTTCAGACAAAATTATTTGTTTTTGTTTTTGAAAGTTAGAGCTATGTTGAAATTGCAATTTTAGTGAGGTCTCCATTTAAGGATTGTCACGGCTTAAAGAATTGGCACATGTACCATGTTGTTTGTCGTGGTCATTTTACCCCTTCAAGTTGAGATTACTTCTGGTAAACGAAGTGCATACAAACTCTTAAACAAGTTTTCTTGACCACTAACACATTCATTACACGTTTGTAATTGATCATGCGGCGTGCATAAATTAATCATTTGTTACTTTTTCAAAATTTGACGTTACTAACGTTACTAACATCCATCTCATTGTTGCTAATGCGTAACCCTGAGTTAGCATTGGTTACTAGCAAAGTGTTGCTCTATGAGTTTACGACAAAGACACACTATGTTTCACCAATACCAATTTAAAGTCTAATCTCTAACGATAGAGTCTCACGTTTTCAAACGTCCTTCCATGTTTGCTAAATTTCTTCATGCTACGGTCGTTTACTGCATAAAAAAAAATGCTTACATTACTTAACTTTATAAAAGGTTATTTTATGCATGCGCAGAAACACAACACAAACAGAAATACACAAACGCAATAAGAAGTATATTATTTTGAGTTTGCTCGATAAATTCCATAGCATTTCTAATTCAAGTAGTGTTCTTTTAAATAAGTTGAAACTGTACGTGTTGCGATGACGCAGGAATGTTGTTAATGAAGATCGTATCAGACAATATATTTTACGAAAACTCAATGAATGCGGTATTATGCTTGGATATAGAGCTATTTGGAGGCTTTCGCAATCTAAGTATAACGTACTAGTACGTTATTTGGCTATTTAAACTATTCTCAGAGAAATCGACCTTGAAGCAACGAGACCTCGACGAGCAAACAAACTAACAAGAAGAAACTATTTGAATCCACGCCCTAAATATACCTGGTAAGATAAACTGAAGCCGACGGGTAAGATAAACCGAGGCCGTATGGCTTTGCATTTCTCGGATACATTGACGGCTTTATAATCAAATTCATCAGCTGTCGAAAAATCATAATCAAAATTATGCGATAACCTATAATTATAAATAAATTTACGCCAAAGGACATCATGTCGTGGTGAATTGTGCGTGAGAAATTGAGTTACATCAAATCATTTTCTAAAGATGATTGACTTCTAGGCAATCATGTGGAAACTGGGACAGGACTTGTTTTTTAATTTATTTCGGTATTCGAATGAGTTTTTGAAGCATAAGATAACAAAAGTTCTATCTGAAACTATCTACCATCAAGGGTTCAATCTCAACAAAAGCTCTATCTCAAACTATCTACCATCAAGAGTTCAATCTCAACAAAAAGTTCTTTCTCCAACTATCTACCATCAAGAGTTCAATCTCAACAAAAAGTTCTTTCTCCAACTATCTACCATCAAGAGTTCAATCTCAACAAAAAGTTCTTTCTCCAACTATCTACCATCAAGAGTTCAATCTCAACAAAAAGTTCTTTCTCCAACTATCTACCATCAAGAGTTCAATCTCAACAAAAAGTTCTTTCTCCAACTATCTACCATCAAGAGTTCAATCTCAACAAAAAGCTCTATCTCAGACTGTCTACCATCAATGGTTCAATC